AATAGATATTTACCTCCTCTCATAAAAAGCTTTCTCAACTTATGCTTATTTCTGCATACTAACATGCAAATGATTATGCAGCAACCCTCCACCAACAGGAGTGCAACACTACCCTTTCATAACTTTTGCCCTCTCTAATCTTGCAGTTGTTAACCACTTCAAAAATGGTCAGATCACACTAAACCAGGAGTGGGGAGAACGGCTGGGAAAATTGACCTCAGGTAAGTATCTATCGGAAATACATTTTCAGTTTAGGAAAATGTTATCTTCCAATACACTGTCTTACCATGGAGTGTGAGAAGGAATTAAAAACAACACACCTGTAAGACACCGCACCACTTCTGAGCTACGTTCACTCTTCATCCTTCAGAAACATGTCATCTCCAAAAAGGGGTGAAATTTGGAGGGACCCAAAAAATTTACAGAAATAATTGGACCCCATGGTGTAGAGTGGATAAGGTGCAACAGACTGTAAATGGGAGTTCAACCTCAACCAACACTTGGCTGCATCTGGAATTGTACATCAGGTCCGCAGTAGGAAGAGGGTCCTCTACCTTTCACCTGAAAAATGGATACTGGCAGGGAAAAGTAGCTTCCATACCAAGAACCCACCTCTGAATGCTTGTACCTCCAACATTAAAAACACCATAACCACTGGGAACTAACATCTGGAAAATAATAGGAAGGTGGAGAGCCCAGGTGGGTGTTCCTCTCTGGTCCAAAGCCCAGCAACATTTGGAGTTTGTTTGTGCAGTCCATGGTAAGAGGAGAGTAAGAAGCCTTAGACATGTGGAAATTCATGTGTATCATCCATCTACAACCAGCACCAGATCTATGGGAATTAACATCCCATTAATGGTAGAAATAGGGACCACTATCTGTGGTTGCATCTCCAGTTCATGTGGCTGATCCAGCTCCAAACAACATCTAATCCCCAGGACCCAATATCTGGTGGATGATAAGAAAAAGGGTGCCTCAGCTACAGGGGCTAACTGCAATATATGGCAGAGTGCTACATCCAGCACTGGTGGCATCTGGAAATAGACATAAGGTCTGCAGGAGGAAGAGTGTCATGCCACTGCCCTACTCTCAACAGAGTGGTATTGTGCACACTCAGAAGGACAGACTTCCACTGTCCATCATCCCAGTGGCTAGAAACTAGTAAGTGGCAAGGACTCCCATACTCCACTAGAAGGAGGAGAGAAAAAACGCACAGAGTCCCACAGCACCAGAGACAGTGCAATGGGTAACTGCAGTACCTTATTTTAAAAAGCAGAGCTATCACATCAACGGAGTCATTCAACCAACATCAGGCAGTGTCTGGAACTGTACATTAGGTCTGTGGTAAAAAAAGACTAAGTATCCCTGGTCAGACACCACACCACAGAGTAGGATTCAAATATGCGATAAAGGCCCCTGCAAAGAAAAAGAATGGAGTACTTACTACCCAAGGATAAACAGTTACAACACTGATGATGTTTCCCCAGGGGAAGGTGGAAATATGCAGACAGGAACATGGTAAGATGACAGATCTGCTGGGAAGAAAACATGAAAAAGGCAATCATCAGGAGAAATGGAAGAAAAACACCAGGCAAATTAACTGGTGAATTCAACCTAGAAGGGAAATGGGAAAAAGGACACTGAAGAGATGAGGATTTCCTGGAAGAAATAAATCTAAGAACCCTAACCAAGCAAAGGAAGTGGATAGGATCGGAACTGTCTTAAAGGTGAGAAAAGCCAAAGTCTTCGGCATAAGGAAATGATCAGGAAAGAGGAGAACATAGGAACTAAGAAAACAAAAATGTAGTGAACATCAAATGCAATCACATCAGAACACCAACGTTCGCAAGCCAACAAGTGTAGGAACAGAAATTTCAAAAAAAGGTGATTTAGAGAACACAAAGATAAAGGGACCAATGGAGGATGGGGAAAAACATCAAGTATCATATAGCGGTGCTCGTCCAGTAGGGAAGCAGAACAGGAAGGAAGGGAAAAATGGAAGAAATGACACAACATGGATAAGACTGGCAACTGAAAAACACAAGCAAAATTGGTAAACCAAAAAGTGGCCCAGAGAAGAGGAAACCAAAAGACCTTGTTTAAAAAGCCAAGGCAAAAAGAATGAGGCTACACACTAAAATCTGGCCCTTCAGGCAATGGACCAGACAAAGTGACACATAAAAACAGAGCGTAGGTACAGACAGATGATGCATGCTGGAGTTTGGCTGATGGAAGAGTATCAGAGATAAAGGAAGAGAAAAAGATGAGGATATGCATGTAGGTACCATCCTGACCAATCCCGACTGCTCCCACCAGAGGATGCAGAACAGGAGACCAAAATCAGGGAAGTGGTGTGTTGAGAAGAGTGGCAAAAATGTCCAAATCTGGAACAAACCCACAGAGCACACAAAACTTCATAGATGGGTAGATCTGAAGATCACACTGCAGAGAGAATCTGGATAATCAAAACTGGATAACCAAACTGAAACCAGATTCAGAGCACTTGGATTATGACATGCCAACAAAGTGATAGGACAGCAATGGGCCCAACACAGACGATCAATGCATGAAAACAGAGGTCTGTTAACAGAGTGCCCTTTGCCCAATGATGTACAAGACTACCATAGAAACACTGCAGGGAACATCACCAACCATCCCTTAGTAACCCACAGAAAGTGAACTAAAGCCTGATGAACAACAAGAAGTTCCAAGATTGATATGAAGAGAGGACTCAGAAAGACTATCCATGGTAATATTGTTCTGATCCAACCACAAGTGAAGTTAGGTCTGTAAGGGAAGCAGAAAGGAGACATTTAAGGGATCCCAAAAAAGGATCCCTTAGACGATGATGCATGAGAGCAAGACCAAGAGGAATGAAGACTTTGAGAGAGACCCATGTTTCCAAAAAAGAGAAACCTTTTGCACAGTAAGAGAAGGAGAGGATGAGATGCTGCATAGGAGACATTTCATACCTCACAACTGAAGTGGAACAGGTAGGGCCTGATGGAGGGGGAAGGTAAAAAACACTCCAAGATGAACCCAAAAATTATGTGGGTGTGAAAAACAATTATTTCAATTTGACAACCCAACCCATCATGGCAGTGTGCTGGAAAAGGAATTGAAGATGTAGGACTAAGTCATCTTTTAAATAGGCAAGAAGCAGCAAGGTAAAAAACAGAAACCCAAGGAGGAGGGAAGGAAAGAAGATTGTGAGACAATGGGGGGAGATGAATGGAAGTAGAGGACCAGACTTACTTAAACAACTTTAAGTATCCATAGATCAACCACCAAGGAACTCCTAATGTGAGCAAAGTGAAGTAGTCTTGTCCCCTCTAGCCATGACCCAAGAAAGGTGGTCAGAGTAAGACAAATACAGGAAAATCCCCTCTAAGGGAAAAGCAACACAAACACTTTGAGTCCAAATAAGGGAAGTTGAAACAATGACAATCAAAAGCACTAAAATAATGACCCAAAGGCTAGACCCAAGAAGAGCAGGGGTGGAAAAAAGGAAACGGGAGATAAGGACAGAACATAACATACCTGAATAATCCACCAAAGGAGAAAATGATCTGGGTAAGACTTCCAAAATGAAATGCAATTGACAAGCATATTAAAGAGGGGTAAAAAGTCTGTCTAAATCAAAAACTTCCCAATCACTGAAAACCATGATAGGACAATCATCAGTTTATTCTATTTGTTGCATGAAATTGGCCAACTCCCAACAGACCAGAGCCATCACTTCACAGGCCAAAAATCATGGTTCCAACCAATTCAACATGGATGGTAATTCCGCTACTGCTGATATAGTCATAATCACCTGAAACTGCGAGTGCATAACTCACAAAATTGAAAATGGAGTGAAGATAAAATAATTCATAACTCTCCACAAAAGAGATTGAAAATGGTAAAAACAATGTAATAAAGGGCTATCTGCACTAACCCTCCCTAATTTAGCAGTGTAAGACGAAAGAGAAGACAGCTAGTCATCACCACCCACCTCCAATTCTTGGGCTACTCTTTTACCAAGGAATAGTGTGATTGACTGTCACATTATAATGCCTCCATATGCTGAAAGGGCGAGCATGTTTGGTGGAACCAGGATTCGAACCCGCGACCCTCAGATTGCGAGTCGAGCTCCCTAACCACCTGGCCATGCCAGACCAAACAATGTAACTAATGTAGAAATATGGAGAAAATAAAAAGTTGTGAATAAGTGAATCAAACTGCAAATGAAAACATGTCTATTCAATAAGACTGCCAACTGAGAAGTGGTTAATAGCTGCAAGATTAGAGAGGGTGCTAGCTAAACAGGGGTAGTGTCGCACTCCTAGTGGTGGAGGGTTGCTGCATAATCATTTGCATGTAAGGATGCAGAAATAAGTGGGAGTATCAAGGCTAGAGGCAAGCAAAAATTTGTACTGATAGAGGGCAGTATAAGTCAAAAAAGCTTTTTGTGAGATAAGGTAAGATATTGTATCAGAAAACAACTTTATGAATGCGTTACTGTGTACAATAAAAAATTCAAGAAAAATTAAATTTAGAAACTGAAGTATGAAAAACTAGAACTAGAAATATAGAAATTCATTTGTTTATAATTCTACACACAACAAACATGTTTCTATATATATATATATATATATATATATATATATAATATATATTTTAGTTTAAAAACACACACAGGAAAACTTCAGAAATTATCAGAAACCATATACAAAGAACCTGAAACCTGCAGCAATAACTATAAAGTTAGATTTTATTTGTACGCAAAAACCTAGGTAATGCTGTGAAAAAATGTAGGTATGTTTTTCTTTATGCATCTTAAACATTTCCAGTTTTTCCAGCATTGAAACACAAAAATACTACACTTATTACATATGGCTTTATAACAAATTTGTATTACAAATCAAATATTTGATAAAAAAAAAACTAGATAATCAACTGTAGTTCTATTTAATTAAAATATCACAATAACTGTGATGTAAATATCTAGTTCTAACCTGCTTTTCTACTGCACCAAACTGAGGGTTCTGATCAGCACAGAATAAGTATAACTGTCCTTTATTCTGAGCCATTTCTTTCAGTACTATGGCAGTTCTGACAGTAGCATTTCGAGCATGTACAAACACCATTACCTGAAAAAAGAAAAACGTTTGACCACTAAAACAATGTCATTTTTTCAGGAAACCACAAATATACTTGAACTTCAAATTATTCAGTGATCTGAAAAATCAATGAAATAAGCATCTTGATCTTGAAGATGAATAATGGGAGTTATGAATGTTTGGGGATTATTTTATTCTAGAATGTTGTAGTTAAAAAGTATTTTTTCAAGTTTATTTAGTGATGAAGTTGATCATGCATCTTGATATTGTTTAGTTATTAAAAAATTATCAACCAGTTCAACAAACATAAAAAATGGGACACACTTGATGCATAGATGAACATTTCTCACAGATATAAGGGAACAACTCTTTCAATCCAAATTGATACAAGATTTCAAATGATTGCAATAAACTTAAAACCATGAAAGCCTGTAAAACTACAATGAATACTTTTTTATGAAAGAATCATAGTAAAATCATAAAAATGTTTCAATATTTCTTATACAAAAAATTATTTTGAGTATTATAATACAAGGTACAAAACTTTGTAAAAAAAGAACTTAAAATTATTAAATTAAAAAGTATTGAGACCAATTTCATTTAAACAACTTTAAAACTACTCAAAATTAATCATCAGTTTTGGCCATTTGAATTTATCAAACTCTACCTGATGACCTTTCTCCACTGTACTGGCTACTTTCTGATAACAAACCTCGTCCATTTCTTGAAGCTGCTGAAGTGGGTTCTGGGATTTAACACCAATAAAAGTCTGGCCAAGAGGGACAGGCCGAAACCTCCCATCAAAGAAAAACAAACCAGTATGTGGTGTTACACAGAGAAATCTAGCCACATCTAGATAGTTGGGCAATGTAGCAGAGAGCCCAATAATCCGGATCATACTCTGAGAGGACTCAACCTGTTGTCAGAAAAACTTCTTAAAGACACACAACTACAGAGTAGTCACATACAAAACAGTGATTTTTATTGAATTAACAGGAATATAGTTCTTACTAAATATATAACTGAAATATAGAATTAAACAAACTTATTTTTCTGGGATACCAAAAACATACTATTAAATATACAATTCTAAAACAGAATTGAAGAAATCTATTATTTTCTAACAAAATTAACAAACATAGTTCCATTAAAGTAAAAATTGAAAATATGTAAATATCTGAAATATCTTTAAAATCAATGGTAAGTTTTATAGTAACTAAAAATAAAGTTAAACCTGTTGTTTTACTATCTCAAAACAAAACTACATTGTAGTTTTGTAAGAGGAGGGTTCAAACACGGTCCTCAAATAGTTGTTAATGTACAAGATTGACAAGAACAGTTCTAAGCAAGTACACAACTTTGATACAGTATTATAAACATGAAATAGACTGTAAAGAATAGTTTTCAGTACTTAAAAGTCTCAACTTAGGATTGTTAAAAATAAATTCATTACTTTTACCGAATATTCTTTACTGTGTTACTAGTTACCATATTTAAAAGTAGACGATTTCTCACTACAAAAAAGATATTAATTATCACCAAATTACAAAACATATTTTATCCGGTATAAATTTAAGGAGATAAACACGCAGTCCTCAAAAGTAGTGATTACATACAGCAAAGTTCTTTTTTTTTTCTATTAACCCTTTGACTATCTCACCCTTTAAACCCCTTTCTGCATGTCATGAGATTTTACTGAGTTAAATTCAAAATTGAATTAAATTACTTTACTATAAACATCTAAAACAGCAATTAAAACTGCAGTTTTTGGTGTCATGTGATCCACTCATGGTTAAAGTTCTCAAGTTTAAGAGCTCTTGTACAAGAAACTATGAGTAGCCAATATAGACTGTCAGCATAAACATTTAAAGTACAGTTCTAGCTGTCTCTCATTAGCTGGGTGAAAACTTCCCAGAAGACCAGGTAAGTACTATATTTCTTGTTTTCTTTATTATTACATAAGTAACTAAAATGTAAGAACAGGGATCTCTTTATGTTAGTTAAGGTTAGATTAGGTAAAATAAATAACAATAATATAATAAAAACATTTCACGAGGCATGCATGTGAGCAGCTTGAAATACCTTGTGGGTAATATAATTCGATAGCTTAACATGAGCTTCACGTTTGCCAAGTGATTCACAACTTTAATAGTATGAATAGTAGTTAGACACAATTCAAAGGGCAATAAAACAATAAAATATATTTATAAATAGATGTATAATGTTACGAGTTTAAAGCTGCTTAGGATAAACAAATGTAGTATCATGTTACAATCTGAAGTCATTTAAAAAAAAGGGTAATCTAGATTACTTCATTTTTTTTTTGTGATGTTTACGAGGTCGATCAGATTGTCCAATCTTGTATAGAGTTAGGAAAGATAAAAATAATACATAAAATATAATGTTTAACTGAAAACAAACATTTGAAATGTATTTAGGAGGTTTTAGAGATTATAAAAATGAAATGTGAGATTTTTCTAACAAACAAAAGTATTTTTAATCTTAACTTGAAAATGACTTTGGATTCGGACTAGTCAAAAAAAAAAGACTTGATATATTCATGGACAAATTTTTTCTTAGTTTATTAAAAACTAGCAGGAGTACCCATTCCCTGGACAGAAGTTATGTAAACTCATAATTAATGAAAGTAGTGGTAAAAAACATGAAAATGCAAAAACACCCATAAAAACAGCAAAAGGAAAAATGTAAAACTGAAAATTTGTATTTGTGTCCCCATGGATGCAATGAACCTCCATACCGAATTTGGTGGAGATCCATCTATAGGGGGCAAAGTAGTGGTAAGAAATGCTAAAATACCCATAAAAACTGCAAAACACAAAACTGAAAATTTTTACGTATCTTCCCGTGAACCCTACGAACCTCCATACCAAATTTGGTGAAGATCCAATTCCCATATTTTTATTTATATTATTTGCTGGCTTTTATTATGCTCAACTATGGCCAAAGGATTACTTGATATTGTAGCTAACTCTATACATTATAATGATAAAAACATAGCTACTAGCTGATACAGTTCATGATGATTTACTGTAGTTATTGACTATTTGATCCCAATAGTTTGAGATGTATAAGTTAAGCAGCAGCTGGAGATTGTCATAGGGACTTTTTTGAGAATATAGTGAGCATTCATAGTTTATGTGTAACTAAATTCGCTATATATAATGCATAGCAATGGGCAAATATATGCCTAGACTAAGGCACAGCCCCCATTAAACATGTATAAAATTTTACCAGTAGAAAAGCAGCCTTTTCAAGTAAAACATTTACATCTAAAACATCACTTTAAGTAAACCTTTGTGCCTTTTAAGGTAATTATTCCATGAATGTGTGTAATAAAATGTAATATTATGTGTATGGATTTTTTTTTTCTCCTTCACTTCATACATAATATAGGAGTTGGCTCCCTAAAGACACTGATTGTATAGTGTACAAAGCATTGAGTATATACATGTTAATGTCATCTAATGTTGATCTATTATTTGCTGGTAATTCCCGTTTCACCCTGTACATAAGCTCTTCAAAGAAACATCAAATATTTGTGAGAAAGCTAACTTCAAGGGGTAATGATAATGTAGTGTACACTAGAATTATGATGTTTTTTAGTTTATGTAAATTATAGAAGAAACAAATCAACTTTTCAATACACTTATGACCTTCTCAGTATCTTATTTAGTATTTTACAAAAGGTTTGGGTACAATATACCAAGCTGTTTTGTTGTAGGTTGGCAAGAGAATAATAATAACAATTATTACAAATAGGCTGCTTGCTTGAGCTGATTTTCTTTTCCTTGTAAATCTAACATGTGTGCTTTTTTGTGCATTTTAAAATAAATACAGCCTCAGCAGTCAATAGTAAAGGTTTTAAAGTGTTGTTTGAACTAAATCTTTATTGTTTAAGGTGTTTTTTGCCCAAACAATCTGTTAAGGTTTTGTGCAATTCCTTGCAATCCCTATTATGAACCACTATCGTGGGTCATAATAAAACTGTTACAGTTCGAGCATAAGGATGGAATACATGTTTACTTAAAATACAGCTATTATAATTTATTTATTTTCAGATGATAAATATGATGTGTTGATAGAACACTTTAGTAGTTTAGCTTTTCCTTTTCTGAGACTCATGATAATAGACATAGAAGTTGAATGATATAAAAAATTAAAATTTTTTCTAATGAACAAAAAATACAAGAGTTAGTTTAAAAGATAAAAATATTATGCATTATCTCACTCAGTCGAGTACAATCACAATACATAAAATAAATAATACAAGGATTTCTAAAAAAAAGTATGAGAAACTAATTTGCTACAGTACAACACATGATATGTGAATTTTTCTCATCTGTATTTGTTAAAACAAAGCTTTCTTCCTTCATGTTGTGGCTGTTGCAACTCATGCTTCACATATTTGTCATTGTTTTATGGTAGTAAATTCACACTGTAAACGACATTGTTTTATCAACTGCCAAAAATGAAGTGAGTGTTCAATAAGTGTAAAGAGAGTGTTCTTATGATAAAAATGCCAAAAAAAGCTATCACAAATAATAGCAGAAATTCAAACTGTCACCTCTCCTTCAGAAAATGTCATGAAAGGTTGCAGCATTGACATTTAATAGGACAAAATGAATAACAGTAGGTGTGTCAAAACCATTGTTCAGACAAATCCAAAACCACAATTTACAAACATGTACTGTAATAAATAAATGTAGGTTTCAGCCATTGTATCAGGTACATATGATAAAAATTTTAACCATATTTAAAAAAAATATAACTTGGAGTCTTGTAATTAAATGTAATTAGATGTTATTAGAAGTATTTTCTACAAAGTTTGCAAACAATTTTATGCAACCAGAAAAATAAAATGTGGTACCAGTGTAACTTAAAAACAGTTTAGAAACACAAAGGATCACATATAAAGTGTAATAGAGTTACAAATAAGACCCAAAACTCAAGCATTTTCGAATAGTTGACTATTCTTATTTGTTCTCCTGAAGAAGAATAGTCAACTATTTGAAAGTGCTCAAGTTTTGGGTCTTATTTTAAGTCTATTAGAAAATGGATAGATGATACTAATATGATAAAAAAGTGTAATTCTGAAATATATGATTTTAACTTACTGTGAAAGTTGTATATCATATTGTCCGACTGTGCCTCAGGTTTATATTCAAAACCTGCCTATGATTTTGTGATTTCACAAAAAATATCTAATCAATATAAAATCTAATGCAAGTTTTCCATTTTTTCCCCTTGGTAAAGATATTTGCCTTTTCAGCACCTACAAATTAAGTACGTCTTTAAATGGAAGAATCTCTTCAGGATGGATGATGGCATTTGCCATTCTATTGTTTTTATTAATGTACTTACAATGACATTTTTTTTCTCATGTGGAACTTGATGTCCCAATTTTAAGGATTGAATATATACACAAGTCATGGATTTAAGCAAGAAGACTTTTACAAATATTTTCAAAAGCACCTGTCTCAGGGTTCTGGCAACTAAGGCTTCTAAAACAGAGCCTCGATCACCATGAAGAAGATGAACTTCATCAATAATTATCAATTTAACTAGCTTAATGAGGGCAATGTCTCCAGTTGACTTTCGTGTCACTACATCCCACTTCTCAGGAGTTGTAACCAGCATCTATAGGATCAAAAGTTATGTTACAGAAATATCAATTTATTTTTTCATAAATAAAATTAATGGTTTAAAATTTTATTTGACCCTTTAAAGCTCACTGTTCAATATCATGACAGCTCTGACCTTGCATTGATAAAAATTAGTAACTCATAAATGTCACCAACTCTGAAACAGTGGCATTTTAAGCACTTGCCATGATACCTGTGAAATCTTTTGAAATATAAATTTGAAGTTTTTGTCAAATCATTATTTGTATTACAACTATCGCCAGAAACAATTAATAGAATTCAAATTCAAACTTATGCCTCCAATCTTTGTTGTCATCCTTAAGTCATAAAGGATAATGCCTGTAGTACCAGCATCCAAATATGTTTGGGGTATTCCATCTATCAGGTAAAATCCAAATGCTGATGTAAAACTCACCAGCAACTAAGGGCTGTTAAGCAGTTAAGGGTTAGGAATTGAGTGCTTGAACCCACAACATCTCAACTCCAACTGCCATTCCTAGTTAGTTGTGGGAAGGCAGTTGCCCTTAATGTTTTTAATGTAAAATGAAACTAACCCCATAAAAATTCTACAAAGTGAAACTCCCGACCTCCAAACATTTAATTGATGTTATACAAAACAAAAATAATATTCATATAGTAGAAATAAGCCACTCTAAATTTCTACAGAACCCCAAAACTCCACCCTTTTATTTAATAAATAGTGATGTTGAAAAAAATGAAAGACCCTTACTGTTCAAGCATAAACCGGGTGAGCCGAGACAAGCCTAGCTACCTGAAGTTAGTCATTCCACCCCGGTATTCTGAACAATTCTAAATGTGACAATTAGTTACTTACACCAAGTAACTAACATCCTCTAGATTTTCCATAATGTAGTCTCCATTAATGAGAGCTTAACCTTTAACACTGTTAAATATTTATTATAAAAAAGTAAAAAACATTTTTTAATAAACCAGTTCTAATAACCAGTATTTTTCAATTAACTTATGAATAAATAAAGATTATCCAGAAAGGAATTACTGTTATTACAAACTATTAAAAATCTTTTTAATTGGGAGATAATAATCCCTTTTAATAATATTAGTGGAACAACAATGTTAGGGGTGGGTAAGCCAAGGTTGGAAAAATCAAATTCCCTTCTCTTGTCAATAATAGTCAACTGTTTTCTGCTTTCCACTAATGTTAACATTTTCTTAAATCAAAAATGCATTTCCAATAATATTTCTGCTCACACTACAGCTATTACTCAACTGCTAGTGTTTCTTTCCATTTGCCCATCCAAGCACTGGTCTGATTTTTTCTTGCTTGCTCCAGTCTTATATTCCCTACTTAATTGCCTTTTATGATATCTGTCTCGTGACACTCTCCACCTACGTCAATGTGCCCTCTATCTTGGTACTCTATATAAGAATCTCCTACAGATAATATTGTCACTTTTTTGAGACTGACCCAATCCGCAGTCTCTAACACCGGCTGTTAGTGGGGAGGAAGGGCAGGAGAGTGTGCCAGCAGGTAAGCATTACTGGAAATACATTTTCGTTTTAAGAAAATGTTAACTTCCAAACATACATGCTTCCTCTCACACTACAACTAAAATCCCACAATAATAATGTGAAGGGGCCAGTGAAGGCATTATCCATACAGAATCTGTCTGCATAGATCATGGTTGTGCCAATAGGAGATTAGCATCCTAGTGGGGGAACCACACTACATTCATAACAGCTATGCTTTTCACTTGGATCCTAAATCATGCACTGCAGGTAGAATTTGACATTATCTGTCATCACCACTGGCCAGGCCCCAACCAAGTAGCTGAGGTTCCAGCGCTCGAGGTTGGAATTATAGGACCATGGTCCCTAAGTCCCACATTGGTGGCTAGGGTACTTAAGCCGTCTCCAGCCATTATTAGACTGCAATATGTATACAGCTACAGGTTGTGAGTGGATCCCAACCTATAGCTATTGAATGATGTCTTCCGAGCCACTGGATTCACAACGAGAAGGTAGCCAACAGTATAAAAAATATTTGCATATATGTTTGACTTGTTTTAATACATTATTTTAAAACAAGTGGACTGTATGCTGTTTGTATATTGTTGAAATTTATTGCTCAGTCAAATTTACCGTGCCTGTGTTGAGAGAGTTAACTGCATCCACCACTTCCAAAGGCAACCCATTCCACAAGCCAACTACCCTGTTAAAGCTGTCTTAGCTGAAGATGATTTACTCCTCACCAAAATTTATAGTTGTGTTCCCTACAGGTTTAAAAGCAAACCAATTATCAGCAGGTATGGGCAGGTTCCCTTAAGCTTTACTCATGAAAACCCATGAGTGGTGGTCTAGCATAGTACAGTAATACAACCCAATCAGCCTCCAGGTGGTCTTATGGAACACCTCATTTCTACAGAGCCTGTTACAACCTAGATAAAATATATTGAATTAGTGGTTGCTAGTGCAGAATTGGTTTGATAAAAGCTTACCTCAGAGTGGAATCCTGTGAAAACAAGGTAAAGAAGAGACAAGCATAGCAATGAAAATACTCACCCCTCTGTATAATGTAGTGTAAGTGGTTAAGATAGCTATAGTGGGTAGTTGAAAACCCTCAGATAAAGATACTGCCAGATCATGCAAGTAATGTGAAATAAAAGTATTGGGGGAGGTCCACATACCAGCCTGCACAATGTACTTCAGCGGGCAGTTGAACCAGGCCGCTAAGGACATAGAAATGTGATGAATCTGATGAGACATGACTCGCAGAAGTCTTCTTCACCTCCAAAGAGAGCCCAGAATAAGCAATGTGGATCAATTTGTGTACTCACCTCAACAAAGTAACTGGAGATAAATCTTGGGAAACTGAAGGATCCCAATAAATAAAAAGTTGTTGCCTAGCACCTCTGAAGGAGTTAAGGCAGGCAACATAACACTTCAAAGCCCTCACCAGATATAAAAAAAAACGTGATCTAATCCATCATAGAGGAGAGAAATAGCGGTCATGATGAATCAGTGAAAAGGACTTATCCCCTTCCCTGGCTACCAATGTCTTAGGTAAGAAGGACCTGTCTGGGTATAGAAGGACTTTGGTTGAATGATAAAGTGTCCTGTGCATGTGCAAAGCAAATAACTCCTACTGGCAATGTCTACAGGTCAGCAGCACCAAAATTGCCTAGGAAATGTCTAGAAGCTGACAACTGAACCAAAGCGGATGCTAACAATAGTCCCAACTCGTCATCAAAGTGATATGGTGATTATCGAGATGCTTCCCAAAAAAGGTGTAGGGATGATAAATATCTCAATACCACAGTGATCCATTCAGGTTGACCACAGACTCACTTTTGTAGTTCCACATTTCCAGGTGCGGGTCTATTCTATTAAAGTCTATATGTGCTTCCACCTGGCATTGGTTGGAGACAGCATGTTGTTCTGACAAACGTGGCAGACAATGAATAGCTATCCTTTCACTTAACTAAGCAGGAAACCTCCCTGCATGAACCACAATGTCAGGGGATGGTGGAAGAACTAAGTACTTGCCCGTAAACCTTTCTACAATCAAGAAAGGCACAGACTCAAAGCAACCAGGGAAAGACCAAAAACATCATGCACTCAATGTACCAATGGAAGAAAAGGAGCCACAGGCAGCTGATCCAAACTGGCCTCATAAGTAAAAAAAGGGGTTGGAAAAAGGGAATCTAAATACTCTCCAGAATGTCCAGTTTTTTCTAATTTTGATATGCTTGAACAGTAAGTGTCTTTCAGTTTGTTTAACATCACTAATTATTAAATAAAAGGGTGGAGGTTGGGAGTTCTGTAGAAATTTAGGGTGGCTAATCTCTACTATAAGAATATTATTTCATATATCTTATCAAATAAAAGAGTGGAGGTAGAGTGTTCTGTACAAATTTAGGGTGGGTTTATTTTTACTATAAAAATATTTTTTTTTATAAACATCAATTAAAATGGTGGAGGCTGGAAGTTTTACTTTATAGCATTTTTTGGGAGTAGGTTTAATTCTACATTAAAAATATTAAGAGTAAACGCCCTCCCACAACTGACTGCAGACAGCAAAAGGCAGTTGGAGTTGAGACGTTTGGATTCAAGCATTCAACTCCTAACCCTTAACTTGTTCTCTCTGATGAGTTTTCATTGGCATTTGAATTTTACCTGACAGATGGAATATCCCCAATGTATTTTGGTGCTATGACTACAGGCATTATCCATTATGACTTAATGATGACAATAAGGAATGATAACGGAGACATAATTTTGAATTTCAATTCTATTATTTTGTTTTTGGTTTCTATTAAGTTCATTACTGTTTTATAGTGCCAATTTTAATCCCCTATGAACAATTAATATATTGCTTAGCAATATATATATACATACAGGTTGACCATCACTAGTCCGGCAATCAGTAATCCGGTACTAATTTCGGCTAGAACAATTTCAAATACAGTAAAGCAAGATGCGCGCTGTTAGGTAAATACTTTAGTCTCGCTTGAAAGTTTTCTTTCCAATATTTTCTTTGATTAAAACTTAATCAACTTGTACTGTTTTATGGGATATTTTAATTTTAAGATGAGGTGGTTAGCTAGTGAGTTTGGTGTATTCTAACCTAATAGATGGCTAATCCGGCACCCTCTAGGTCCCGATGATGCCTGATTAGTGATAGTCAACCTGTACCACAATTGATCTCATAACATCATGTGCTAAGACACTTTTTGGAAAAATTTGGTGTAATATTAAATCATCTAAAGTATTAAAACTAACACAAATATATAGTATTTTTATCTTTCTCTATTTTAACCTAAAACTTATCTATGGCCTCCTTTTATTCATTTAAGTAACATGTTCAAAATAATGTAACATCTCTTACCTATAACCAATGGCAAAATATAATCCTAGCACTGACCGATGGCCTTGAATTACAAAACTCTAGTAGCTGTAACCAGGAAATTAACTGCCAAGACCATTAGTTGAGTAAAATAAATAAAAATGGATGGAAACCAACTAAGTTAATTTATCACCTTTTCGTGGCTTACAAATAATGGCATACTATAACTAAATGACAACTAAAAAATCCAACTGCCTTCAATATTTGTTGAGCCAAGAAACTTTACATTTTTTTGTAACTATGCAAGGAAGAGTGGAAGCTCTATGGCAAATAGTGTGAGAAAGAAAATAATCCCTAGATTCAGATGATATACTTATGATTTTGTCAGCTTTAGAAACATGCAGATAGTTGAATTATATAGTTCTTGACATCACCATTATCTTAAAACTTCCTGTTTTCAAACTATTTGAGCTAAAAATGAGCCTCCAATGAATGCACAGGTGACAAATTTGCAGCTTAGATTCATCGAGTGATAACATGTATCTGCACAGGCAGGAAATTTAATGATTTCTACCATCTGAATAATTCTAACAGGAGGCCAAAATCAACAATTAGGGCTAACTTTTGATTTTTTTAAATTACTCTACCAAAACAAATGCTAATAAAACTTACATCAAAAGAAAATTTAAAATCTAAACTTTTCAGTTAGAATTTTATGTTGAAGGAAATTTGTGACCATATATAACAAATAATTCTTCAAATTTCTATGTCATCATTTGCCCCTGTAATGCCAAAAAGGACTGGGCTAGAGAGAGATAAACATCATACTGCACTTAACATTTTTTTACTGAAGCTTTTTCTGCTAAACTTTTAAATTTTAAAAACCAATTCTATTATCACTATAGACTTTATGATCAAAAATATATTTATTCTATTATTTAACCACTTTTAAAACTAATACATAAAAATAAAGTATCTAATCAAGAAAGACTAAGAGTTCTACACATTTTTATTTTATCTCAGAAAAGTAGTTAATTTTACTACAGATCTTCAAAATGAATTCCTTATGAAGAGTCTAGCATATACCTGAGTCTGTAATATTTCTGTCTTAGTCAGTTGCATGTCACCTGTAAGTTCTCGTACCAAGACTCCTAGTGGTTCCAGTCTCTTGTTGAAGTTTCTCACCATCTCTGCTGCTAACGCTTTCATTGGAGCAACATACACAATCTGCCAATAACCATTACAAAACAAAAACACTAGACAACAAAAGTGAAACTCATTATATTGTTCACTTACTTAGAATTATTACATTCAGTAAGTATTAGAGCACAGTCTAAGAAATGTATTTTACTTGACAGCAATATTTTTATAAAACAGAAAAAAAAATTATATCAAAAATAAAAACCTAATAATAAATTTGCTCATTTATTTAACAGAACTAAATCTTATTACTCATCAGGATTTGTACCAGCCTACCCTAAAATATAAATTATTGTAAGCAGGATTAGAGTAAATTAATCTATGAGATCATTGGGCATGGTTAAATACATCAATCAGAAGGGTTTGACCTTCTGAGTCCAAAAACTGTAATTAGATCTCAAATCGATCAAAAGATGATGGAGTTATGAGCTAAAAGTTTGTACTTGATAAAAAAAAAAAAAAACTCAGAGCCGTTCTATGAGCTACTATACCACAGCTAAAAATGACTAATGTCAGTTCCTGCCTAAAAGAAATTTTTATTATGTGTGTATACAAGTGCACACACACACACTGAGATACCAGTAATATCTGCAAATAAATGTATGTTGAAAACGAATCTTTAAACAAGTGGAAACTCTTAAAACAGTTCTTTAAATTTATCACTCATTAAAATCAAAATAACTGCCACAAACCCAATATCCTATCACTTCTAAGCAGAATGAGTTACTTTCTATTTTTACTTAGTGATTTCATGTACATATAAAATTTTAAAAAAGATGAAAAACAAAACTAACATATTGTATGTTTCTCATTTAGAAAACAAAACAATATGTAATGATATAAAAACAGGCACTAAGTTTTTAAAATAAAATATTTTGGTGAATAATAGGTTATGTAAATGAATAAACAAGTTATCATGGTAGCTGGAAAAGAGCAAAATACTTCAGACACAAAAGACATAAATCTAGCACTGCTTTATCAGAAAGTATTATGGACTTTTACACGATATCTTGTCTCAAAAATATGAATCTAATGAAGACTATATGACTAACGCTTTTGCCATTATTACTTCAAACTTTAAATTACATTTGGGCTTATATTTTAAATATTAAATACAGCTACAACATACTACATCTGTAATGTTTGACTGAAACTTAATATGGTGGTGCACTAATTTCTAACAGAGCACTCACCACTGGGTAAGTGTAAAGTGATATTACCTTATGAAAGTGACAGCACTGATCACGATATATTGTTTATTATTAATCTAAGTTTTAAAAAGTTTTGCTAAATTATCCTCCAACTTTCAAAGTTAAACTAAACAGATTTTTTAAATTATAAATCACAAATAAAATTAACACGTTCTGATATGATGTAAATTAATAAGTACAAAGGTCAATTATAGTATTCTCTAGCTGTTAGAACTTACTATTCTCTAGCAATGCATAACAAGACTACCCAAAATGTATTTATCTTCAAAATACTTTATTTCATGTACAGCATAATCTATTTGATAAAACACACTATCTGCATTGTCATCTTTCTGTGTGATTTTTCCATCATTTACACTTTAATATGACAGACAATATTCAACACAAAATATTATCTAGGAACTTCTACCCATCACAATCTGTATAATGTGGTTATACATATATATTAAATATAACACACAAAAAACTTACTGTTAACTTATCTTTCATCAGGACAGTTCACTGAATGTACTGATTAAGTTTATAACTAATATTACAAAACACACGAAGACAAACCTTAAATTTATCTTTTTTCAGGACACTTCCTTCCATATGCTGTTTAATTTGGTGGAGAATAGTTAACATAGCAATATTGGTTTTCCCAGCACCAGTAGGTGCACAGATCAGAAGGTTTTCATTTGTATAATATGCAGAAGGAAAGACAATTGACTGAATGCGGTTCAAGGTTTTCATACCTCGGAATCCTACTTGACCAAGCTATTGATGAAGAAGTGTAAGAATAAATTAACTGCACTGTTTTAGAAATAGAAATTTTTGATTCATACATCTCAGATGGTTGAGTTAATGATTTTCTATAATATACAATAAAAGAAATTTTGTTCCTAAAACCACTATCAATGTTGGTTCATAACATGATATTAAAGTTTAAAGAAGCATGCACACTACACATTACCATCCACCTTGTTGTTTTTTTATTATTATTATTCAGTCATCACTTTGAAAATAAAAAGTACAAAACATTCTTATTTTCCTAAAGAACAAAATACTAAGATTTCTTTGTATAAAAACTTATATCTAAATACCCAAAATTAAATTTTACTTTAAAGGAGCTATTAAATTGATTTAAAACATTCAAAGTTTAACCGTCTAGTCATGGCCATCTGTTTATTCACATGTCACAAAGCTTTAGTGAATTATATTCAAAATTTAAACTACATTATTTTCAAGGTATACAACAAGTAGCATAAAAACATAGCTAATAATCTATATTTTAATAGTATATAAGTTTTAAGTTCTTACTTTTATAAGGAAATATAAAAAAAAAATCTAGAATATCAACAATGTATTTCCAATAATACTTACCTCCACTGACACTTTAGCTATTCCTCAACATTGGCTTTGCCTATCTGAGCATTGGTTTCGCATGCTCCAGTCTTTTATACCCCATGTAAATGCCACTGGCAATATATAATTTGCAAATCCCTCTACCTGTGTAAATGCTCCCTCTATCCTGACACTGTATATAAGCACCTCACTCAGATAATGTAATCACTTTTTTGAGACTTACACCATCCCAGCTCTTAGTGGGGAAGAAGGGTGGGAAAGTTTCAGTAGAAGTAAGTATTATTGGAGATACATTTTCAATTTAGGAATATGTTAACTTCCAAAACATACTTACCCTCTGCTACAACTTTAGCAAGAATCCCACATTGAGAAGGTGGAGGAGTCAGTGAGGGCATTTTCCATACAGAAAGCATCTGTATAGAACAGGGGTTTACTAAGATAAGAGTGGTGCCAAAGTGGAGAAACTGCACTACATCCAGAACAGGCATACTTTACACCCAGAATTTAACAGTGGTATTAAGGGTGGAATAGTACATGAGTAATTATTATAGGCCAGTCCCAACCAGATAGTCGAGGTTCCACAACTCTGGGTTGGAATTAAGGGGTCATGGTCCCTATATCCCACATTGGTGGCCAGGGCAATTGGACCGCAATGTGATATACAGATATACTTTTGATTTGCTCCTAACCTGTAGTCATAATATTCTGAACCACCGGAATTACAATGAGAAACAAACCAACAGCAAAGTGGACAAACTTTCTCTTCCACCTGAAGAAGTCCGAAAGGCACCACCCCAGGCTCGGAATGATGGGATCATATATGCCTTACTCAGCCAAAGGAACAGAACTCATCCTTTCTAGAATTATGAACATTCATCCTCACTCTCCAACTGAGTGGGCAAGGAGCATTCCACTTGTTCCCAGAATTAAGGAGAGGACATGGAACACTGTGTAAAACCAAGGTCCTAGTATGGGACCACTTTGCATTCGGAATTATGAGGAGACAGTGGACCTCCATCCATGAACAATATACAACCTGAAATTATTCATAAGAAGGGTCAAGCAAACCTCAACCAGATAGCATAGGTTCAAATCTAAACCAGTATTATGAGTAGGCTCCCGTGTTGGCCAGCACCACTCCTACTAACATCTGGGAAATACATCCAAGGGCCTGGGTTAGGAGGGCCTTTGTCCACCACTCCAGTGACTGGAAAAAAGGTGTGGTAAGGATTCCCTAGCTCCACTAGAAGAAACTGGGGGGTATGCACGTTGGGGAGTGCTGAGGAACAGTGCTCTTGAAACAGTGCAATAGGTGAACCAAATTCTCTAAATTTTAAAAGCAAACTGATCCTGATTTATTTAATCCGATGATCCGCAGGGATGGGCAGAATCCCCTTTAGCTTTACTCATGATGGTCCATGAATAATGGTTAATAACAATATGGTAATACCATCCAGTTATGCACCTAGATGGTCTTATGGAACACCTCACTTCTACAAAGCCTGTTGCAACCAGAATTAAGTATAGTCAAATGAGTGGCTACTACAGAATTGGATTGGTAAAATCACACCTGTCTGGGCAACACTCACCACAGAGTGGGATCCGGTGAAAGCAAGATGCAAGGTACCCAGAAAAAGAAAGACAAATTAAGATTACTCTCTCCTCCATATAATCTAGCAAATGTTGTTAAAATGGCCATGAGGGTTGGTAGAAAACCCCCAGAAGAAAAACTGCCAGATTATATAAAGAAGGTGAGAGAAAAGCATTAGAAGTCCACAAACAGGCCCATAAAATGTCCCTCAGTGAATTAAAAAAATTGGCAATGAAAGACATAAATGTGCTGAAGCTGATCAGATGTAACTCTCAGAAGATTCCTTGCTTGTAAAAATCCAGAATATGCAATTTGGATATTTGCAAAACTGCCTCCATAGTATCCCAAAGAATACAAAGATGAGAACTATCACCACAAAAGGAGTTAGAGTGAGCCACGTAACACCTCTTGAGCCTGACAAGAGAAAACAAATGATCAGTGTATGATTGATTGCAGAGGTGAGAAATAGTTGGCAAAAGAATTGAAGAGAGGGATGTATCACCTTCCCTGGTGGTCAAAAGACTAAGAAGGAAAGGATCTATCAGGGTATGGAAGGACCTAAAGAGAGATAAAAAGTACTACAAACATGCCAACAGCTCCAACTGATGACATCAACATGTCAGCAAGAACAAAATACCCATTAAGGACAGGTGATATACGGTACAAGACTAAAGGCTCGAATGGTTGTCAAGACAAGACATGTAGTACCACCTAAATATCTTGAGTAAGTAATGGAATAATGCCATTTGGGAAGAAGGCTGGATAGCAGTGGGAAATTGAAAACCTTCAGATGTTTAAGATAACTAGAGGGAGATGAAAAAGTTGTCCAACCTAATCGACAGGAGACAAAGCTAAACCTGAGTAAAAAACAGGTCAAAACAAGATATGGTGAACACGTTTGGTAAAGTGGGTACAAACTCCTTGTGAGGCACACCCCAGACAACTGTAGACATTAAACCCCAATGAGCCTGGAAAATTCTTAGTGTAGAATGTGGAGTTGAGGATATGTCTCAATAAAAATAGCCAAAGAGGAAGATGCTGAGGTGGACTCACATGAAGAAACTGTAGAAAAGGAAATCATGGCTAGGCTAGCCAATCTATGATAGCAACATTTCGCAAGTAGAGGATCGAAATATAGTTGGAACTCTGAATAACAGATGTAGTGAGGAAAAATCACATATGAGCAATACCATCCAAGCAGGAGTGAATGCATCTACCATCCAAGTCTGAGAATGAGGAAAAATCCAAATCTTGAAGTTGAGTATCAATGAGTGGCAAAAGCTATCATTGGAGACCCAAACTGAGAACATATCTATCAGAAATCTGCACAACAGAAAATCCATTTGGTCAGGAGAATGTGAGGACTGAGACTGACAATCTGCTATGAAATTCATCACCCCAGGAAAATGGTAAGCCAGGAAACTGATATGATTAAAATAGACCCCATAGAGAAAGAACCAAATTTAAGAGACCACTAGAATCAATGAAATGTCTCATGAGGATATTCCCCTGCAAGAGATCTGGACCTTGCACTATTGCTTGTTGGTTCTGCAAAAAGTTTGAAATTATTGATGCATGATGAAGATTTATCCTCCATTTATATACCCTTGAATTCCTGACCTTGAAGATGCAAATCTCAGTCCAGAAGTAAAGTATCTGTAAAGAGATAAAGTATGGACAGAGGGGCAGTATACACTGATATATTCACACACACAAATATATATATATATATATATACACACACATACACATACTTACACAGATACCCATACAAACATACACACACACACATGCTAATGATAGAGATGTTGCCCCTAATGAAATGGATAGTAAAATCCAGTGGATTGAAGTTCCAGATCCATTAGTAGCAATGGAACCACTGAAGGGAGAGCATGTTTCTTCATCCCACAAAATTCAAGAGATTTGTGGGAAGCCCACAACCCAGAGACAAAACCATCCCTGTAAGTAAGAGCTGACTACCCGTTCCATAGCTTGGAGCTGCATGGGAGGTGGCTTAGCTGGGAGTAAAACACGG